GCCTCTCCACGCGGGCAGCGTGCATGCTGGGCCACGCCCCACCTTCTGGGCATCTAGTGGGCACAGACGTGCCCTGGAGTCAGTGAACTCGCCCGAGGAACGCCAGGCACCGCGCGGCTGAGCGGGCGGGGGGCGCACTTGCGCTATACGCGGACACGGGCGTGACCGGGCCTGCGGCGTCACCAGCCCACCACCCTCCAGGCACTTGTTGGGCTTCTGGCCTTACCCTGTGGGCTGCAGTGACCTATCGTCATCCCAGCCAGAGGGCCTGGAAGACCCGCAGCCCCTGGGGCCGCTCCTCTGCAGCTCCCAGGCCTGGCCCTGCGGCCTGGCCCCTTCTCTTGCCGCAGCCCAGCGTGGGAGCCGGTGCGGCTGTGCTAGTCCCACCCAGATTCTCGCCTCGTGTGTTGTGTGAGGCCACAGCAAACATCTGCTGGACAATATGAGGGTGGGGGGGCTGCCCTGCTGGGGCGAGGTGCACAGGCCCGACAGGTCAGGGGGTGCGGGGGGTGGAAGAGCTGCTGGAAGTAGCTTGGAGGGTCCTGAAGGGCAGAAAGTGAGCTGTGCGGAGGGCGGAGACAACGGTCAGATTGTGAGATTTCGCCAGAGGAGCAGAGTGACGTGGACACCCCCGCCGGAGACAAGGGCTGGCATGGGGAGTGGCCGCCTCACCCGCAGCCTCCGGCCACCGCCACTCGCCGCCGGGCATGGCGGACAATGGCAGGAAGCTTCGTTGCGGAAGGTGCGTTCTGCTCACTAGCTGCGAAGTGACGGGGGTCAGACGCGAAGGTGTTTCGGCATGAAAGCCGCAGCGTCTATTTCGAGGCACAGGGAAGCGGGCTCGGCGCCCGCCTCGCACCATACCTGGAAGTGCGGGCTGGAGACGCATTTGGCCAGCTGGCGGAAGAGCGGCTCCATGATCTTCACGAACTCCGACGGCTCGATGACGTCCAGGATCTCCTCCAGCTCGTTCAGGAACATCACTTCTTTAGGGCTGTGGGTCTTCGGCCAGTACTTGAGCAGGGCCATCACCACCTAGGGACAAGCAGCCGCAGTGAGCCTCCGCCCACTTCTCCCTGCGGAAGACCAGTGTTGATTTCTCCAAAAAGTCTGGTTTAGAGGCAGCAGAATCACAATTTTAATCTATGTGACTCGCTCACTCCTGGATGAACCACATTTCAGTAAGTTTCTTTAAAAATGACAAAGAAACGGGCCCTCCATGGTGGCGCAGCAGGTAAGGCCGCAGCACTGCAGTCGCTTCGGGCGCGGCAGACCCCTCCTGTCCCCCGCTGCCCCCCAGCAGTGTACGTGTGATCGGCCTGTTCTGCTCCCCACCCTGTCTCTGGTGAGTCCTCTCACCGCCCCTGCATCTCTGGCCTGTACCCCAGTTCTGTGTGCACAAATAAAACTTTAAAGAAACTGACAAACAACTAGGGGAGTCAGAGCGGGCGAGACCTACAGAGAAGGGCAGGTGTGAGCTGCGTGTGAGCCCGGGGCTAGAGAGGCCGCCCTGGAGCCGCTGGGGTGCAGGTGGGCCATCCACTTCCTCCGGTTAACTGACCGCTCACATCCAGTAGTGTGTGGGTGCACAGGCCACACAGGCTGCGCGCGTGTTCACAAACACATACTGTGCTCAAACACGGCTGCGAGACGTGCGAGAGCCGTGAAACTGCCGGTGCCCCGACCTCAGAGCGCTGCGCCCACCCCCGGTGCTGCAGAGCCACGAGGCCTGCGCCAGGACACGCGGCGCCCCAAGTCCGATGGGCAGCAAGTCCCCACTGGGCAGCGGTCCTTCCCATCATGTCCACATTGTCTTAGCCATGCGGCCCAGGCAGGCTGTCCACCACAGCACCAGGTTTCACCCAAGTAATCTCTCACAAAACACGGCCTTTACGTGAGGAGGAGGGGCACAGGGCGGAGGGGGAGGGGCGGACACCCCCACAGGGCAGAGGGTGCAGGGCTGCGCGGGGTGCGCCCAGCCCGCGAGCCAGGCCTCTCTCTGGGTGGGAACGGTCGCCTGGGGCTGGCCGCTGGGGTCACTCCTGCTCTCGGCTGTCCCGGCCGCGGCAGGGCAGAACCGGGAGGTGCGCAACTGAGAATTTGCTTTGGTGCTTTTGGCTGCCAGATGACGCTTTAAGACAGGACACCCACGGAAGTCCAGATTCACAGACAAGGAATGCACTCCTAGTTTTGAGGTCCGATGTGAACATTCACAGCACAGAGGTCTCCCTGTGGTGCAAGGGGTGCCGATGCAGCCCCACGAAGCTATCAGCAGCCCTGCGGCCTGAGGGGGCCCTGGCCAGGGAGTGACCCCAGGGCACAGCAGGACCCTCCTGCCCCCGCTGCTCCCTCATCAATCCACCTGTTCTGCTCCCCGCGCTGTCTCTGGTGAACCCTCACTCCCCTGCATTTCTGGCCTGTACCCCAGTTCTTGTACCCATAAATAAATCTTTTCAAAAAATTTACAACACAACTGTCTTCGGAAGGAACGCGGTGGCGACTCCCTCCTCTCTGCGACAGGCGCCGACAGACTCGGAGCAGCGACTGTGCCCTGTGCTGGAGTCGCTGCCAGGAAGGCAACAGCCGCCTCCGAGCCCACGGCCTGTCACGCCAAGGGGGCCAGTGACCCGGCGCCTCCGAGTCCGCCGGGGCACGCAGGCCCTGCAGAGGCCGGCGAGCGGGTGGGCAGAGGCCTGGCCTGGCGCCACGGGAGGCGCCCACGGGCCGCGGGCCGAGCCCGGCTGCCTCGGCACACGCGCAGCGGGATTCTTGCTGGCGAGCTGCCCCGGGACGCAGCCCTGCGCTGGCGGCCAGCGCCGAGCACTCTGCAAGGGACGCCTCGGGGGCTGTGACGGCAGCAGCGAATGTCCTGTGAGTGGCTTACACACGAAGAAACCCCGCGCCGGACACCTGCTGGCCTTGAAGTCCTCTGGGTGGGGTGGGGAGAGGCATGTCCCACTCAGCGCTGGCCCCTGGCGGCTCTGCCTCCTGCTGACAGGCCGAAGGGAGCCACGCTGGCCCCCGAGTCTCCGCGAACTGTGGATTGCGAGGCGCATACTGGGGGCGGGGCCTGCCGCTCCGGGGGGACAACGGGACTGCACCCCAGTTGCTTCGTGAGTCGGGGATGGAGACACGAGAGACCTTTATCATTTTCATGCCACCTGCAGGCTGAGGCTTGCCGGGTGGGCTCGGTTGGGCCCTGCCTGGCAGGAGGGCCGGGCCGCGGGCCTGGGCGGCGCCTGGTTCTGGCGAGGTCAGGGCGCCTTGCGGCTCCCGCAGAGCGCGGCGAGCCCGAGGGCACTGGGCCCGCTCTCTTCCTCCTTAGCCTGCGGAGCGGCCGCGGGCTGTGCGGGTCCATCATGTGCTCCTTTCTCTAGGAGGGCGTCCACCCCCAGGCTGGACGGCCGTCGGACTCGGCGGGGGCGGTCGGGGCTCCCGCTGCGGAGAAGAGCTCCATGGCGGTCAGCGGTGAGTGCCGGCTCGGCTCTCTTCAGCCACGTCCCAGGCTGAGCCAGAGGGAGCACCGTGGGCTAGACGGTCTGTGGGCCTAACCCACCTCCGCGGAGGCGTCCAGGACGCAGAGCCCAGTGGAGGTATGTGGAGAGCTGCGGGGTGGGGGATGGGCGGGGACTCCGGGCCGCCGCTGACAGACCCTTTGGGGATGCCACTGAAACTGAGGGTGGGACCGGCCTGCCCTGCCACAGTGGCAGGGTGTGGCCAGCAGATGCTCGCCCAGGAAGGCCCGGGAGGCACACGCCTGCATCTTCAATTTGCAGTGTCGTAAGAGAACCACGAAAGAGGTAAGGGACAGAAAGACGCAGGAATTACAGTATCTACTTCTGTTCAAGAATCAGTTTTTAGCAAAAGTGCGTTCTAGGCGGCCCTGCTGGCGCACCGGTCAGGACGCAGCCCCGTAAGCAGCCCCAGCCGCTTCAGCAGGAGTTTGAGCCCCGCCCGGAGCTGACCCACAGGGCACAGCAGACCCCTCCTGACCTGCCCGCTGCCCCCTCAGCAGTGCACTTCGTCAGTCGCCTGTCCTGCTCCCCGCTCTGCCTCGTGAAGCCTCTCACTGCCCCTGAGCCTCTGGCCTGTACCCCAGTTCTGTGTGCATGAATAAATCAACCTTAAAAACAACAAACTTTGGCCCTCCCTGGTGGCGCAGCGGGTTAAAGCACAGCACTGAGAGTCTGAAGCCGCTTCCGTATGGGTTTGATTCCCGCCTGCCGCCTGCCCCGGAGGAGACCACATGGCGCGGCAGACCTCTCCTGACCCGCCCACTGCTCCCCTCAGCAGTGTACTTCGTCGATCTGCCTGTTCTGCTCCCCACTCTGTCTCTGGTGAAGCCTCTCACCGCCCCTGAGCCTCTGGCCTGTACCCCAGTTCTGTATGAATAAATAAATAAATCTTTAAAAAAAAAAACAAAACAAAAAAACAAACAAAAAAAACCCAACAAACTTAAACAGGCACCTAACCTCTCTTAACTTAAACCAAGAGGGAGTGGACCTAGCGATGTCTCCGAAGAAGCTGCCAACGCGAACCTGCGCCTGTGGAGCACCTGCTTCCCGCCCCAGGAGGGAAGGGCAGCGCTGGCCGGCCGCCTGGCGGGCAGACAGGAGGCCGTGTGCGGCTGCGGGACGGACACGCCGGCACGGCCCTCCTGAGCCCGGCGCAGCATCGCCACTGCGCCTTGGGAGGCGCCGTAGGGACCGAAAGCGGACCTGAGCAGGACCTGAGGCCCATCCGGTCACCGCCACGCCTGCGAAGGGACACAGACTCACAAAGCTGCACGAGGGACACCCACGGCGGGAACGGGGTGCGGCGCAACAGCAGGTGAGGGGAGTGGGGCTGCGGGACACGCACCCATGTCCGGCCCTCACCAGGTCCCTGGGACGCCATTCTCAGGACAGAGCAGGCTGGTGGGGTGGGGGGCGGGGCCCTCACGGAACCCCGTGTTCGGAGCAACAGTGCGTACGGGGTGGCCACGCCAGGCGGGGGCAGGGCGTGCTGCTGAATCAGAGAGTTCATGTGGCCAAAACCAGGCTGTGTAAGGTAGGTTTACCATAGTTAAAAAAGTGAATTGAGGCCCTCCCTGGTGGCGCAGCGGGTTAAGCACAGCACTGAGAATCTAAAGCCGCTTCCGCATGAGTTCGATCCCCGCCTGCCCCGGAGGAGACCACATGGCGCGGCAGACCTCTCCTGACCCGCCCGCTGCTCCCCTCAGCAGTGGACTTCGTCGATCTGCCTGTTCTGCTCCCCGCTCTGTTCCTGGTGAATCCTCTCACCCTCCACATCTCTGTCCTGCACCCCAGTTCTGTATGAGTAAATAAATAAATCTTAAAAAAAAAAAATAAATAAAGTGAATCGAAACTGTGCTGAAGCCCATGGAGCTCTACCTGGTGGTGTGACCTACCTGGCGTTTTCCTGTGGGCGTAAGGAAGTGTCCTCAGAGGCCTGGTCTGGACCTGACATGCCTGACTTTTAGAACTGGGCGACGAGGGCTTTTTTTGACACAGATGGGGATAAAGCTCCAAGAAATCCAGAAAGCTAATCAGCTTGGCCACCTGGCACCGCCCCGCCCGGCCCACCCACAGGAGCCCTGCCCAGGGGCGTGTCAGTGAGGCCCAGGCAGACGCCCCGCCCCGCCGGGCCCGGCAGGTACTCACCGGCTCCGTGAGGGTGCTGTCCTTCTCGAGAAACTGCACCACGCAGTACGCCAGCTGCAGGGCCAAAGAACAGCATGACCACTCGCCGGCCGGCCTGCTGGCTCCCCGGGGCCAGAGAGCCCTTCCTCTGGGGAGGCCAGTGCCTGTGACAGGCGCCGCCCAGACCCTCCCCACCACACTCCACAGGTCGTCCTGTGAACGGCTGACCACACCTGTGACAGCGACCGCACTCCCCCAAGGGGGACTTCCACAGCTTCCAAAGGCACGGCCTCGCCAGGTTGCCTCCTGGTCAGACAGGACCTGCCCTCGCCCCAGACTGGGGTCATGCTCACTCACAGGGATGCCCGTCGAGGGCTCCCCGACGCCTCCTGGGCTCTCAGGCACCTCTTCCCTACGCTTGAAACGCAGCTCAATGCCCCCCCCCCCCACCCTGAGGCTGCTCTGATGCCCGGGAGAGGACTCGACCTCCCTAGCTCTCACTCGTCTCTGCCCGGACGCCAGCCCTACCTGTGGGTGGTAGACGCTCAGAGACTTCACTTTGTGCAAAGGCAGCAACACCTTCAGTAAGAAAATCTTGTGTTCTTCTTTGAGTGGTAAGGCAAATCCATTGATTATGCTGTGAAAACAGAATCGATTCAAAGTTACAAATGAAAATAATGCAAACAAACTTGTTGTTTTGCTTAGTTTCTGTGTCCAGCATGGAAGCCGGAGAATGAAAGTGCTTTCAGAGAGGAGGCAGAGGCAGGCCCGAGAGACCGAAGGCTGCAGAGCTGCTGCCGGGCGCCGCCGGGGTCTCTGCAACTGGGCCTCAAGGTGCTACACAGGGAGTGGGTCGCAGGGGCTGGCTGCTGGGGTGGGGGCCCCACCAGTCCTTAGCCATTCACCCCTTCTCTGAGAAACTCTGGCTCGTCGGTCCAAGCAGGCACATGTGTGTTACAGATCAGTGAGGGCAGCTCCCCGCAGGGAAAGGGGCCTCCCCTCAGGCGGGCGCAGACCGGAGGCCCCACGGCCGGAGGAGTCCCAAGCGCCCCGCACCCGCCGCGGGCCTGAGCCTCGGGCTCACACACGAGGCAGCTCTCGGGCCCACGGGAACGCCGGCCCACCCAGGCGCCCTCAGTCGGGCCTCTTCTGCAAGGCGAGGCGTGGGTCCAGCGGGGACGCCGTGGCAGGGGAGCCACGTGGCCGGCCGCGACAGCAGAGGGCCGGGGGCGCCCACTA